AGCAAACTCTTCATCTAAAAAACAAGTAGATGCCCCCGAATCCAATAAAGCTAAAGTTTTTTGTTTTTGAGGGCCTAAAAACAAAGGAATTGTAAAACAACGGGCAGGTTGGACAGAGAAGGAAGAACCTGATTGTTGTCGTGATATTAGATTGTCCAGCCGCACGGTTCCTACTGTGGCTGGGCGTCGTCATTTTCTGGAATCATCGCACTTCTAGTCTTGACAGGGTGCCAATTTTGCTTCTTTGGGCAATTTCCAACCTTGTGACCTTCTTCTCCACAGTACAAACATAACCCTTCCTCCATACGCCGTTTCTTCTCTGTTGGAGTAAGAGATCGGACACGCGCCGTGTCAATTTGCATGTCTGTTGCCTCCGAATGTGAGTTTAAGCTATTTGCAGACATAATCACGTCGTAACGAGTTATTTGGTGTCTTGGACGTTGGTCTTGGCGACGCTGGAATAGGCGGTTGTCACACTTTACAGCTTGGCTAATAGCTTCGTTGAGCGTTTGAGGATCAGGAAGAGATAACAGCAAGTCCTTCACATCATCCTTCAAGCCCCAATAAAACTGACTCACCAACGCCTCTTCACCCCAATTAATGTCACTTGCCAATTGTCTGAAATTCGAGGCATAGACTGATGCAGAGCGTGTTCTTTGTCGTAGCGATCGGATCTTTGTTGTAGCCCACCGAACTTTATCATGCTCGCCAAATGCTTCTGCAAACGCCTCCAAGAACGTTTCAAAGTTGCTCAGGATTGGCGATCGCTTCTCAAACAAGGGAGTAAACCAAGACAGAGCTTGTGCTGTAAGCAAGGTTCCAACAAGCCCAACACGCGCTTCCTCCGTCGGATAACGTTCGGGCTGTAAAATTGTTATCAACCTGATTTGGTTGACAAAACCTCGAAACTTGGAACGAGTTCCATCAAACTTATCCGGAAGACTAACTCGAGGCTCCTTTCGTTGTAGGACTACTCGATCTTGTTGAAATGGAGGTAGAACTGCTTCTTCTGGCGCAGAAGTTTGAGGCTGATATGCTTTAAATGGCGCTATCCCAGATGTTCCATTGTTATGGAGTCCTACCATGACTCCTTCGATCTCTGTTGTCCTATGTGACAACGAGGCAAGAGCATTTATGATGGCGTCTAGTTTGGATTCCAAACTTTCAGCCATTTTAACGTCTTAACCTTCGACTAACCTTCAGAAAGAAGAAAAAAGAGTTTTGACAAGAGGACAATATTGGTTCAGAGGAGGGTACTCCGCAACCTCTAAAACGCCTTAAGACTCCAAGATGAGGGGTAATCCACTCTCTCCAAGAAGAATAAGGCTCCAATATTGAGAAAGAAGAGATATCAGTTTAGAGGAGGGTAATCCGCAACCTCTAAAACACTAGCACACCTTCAAGAAGAGGGGTAATCCACTCTCTAACAAGAAGGAACTAGCTCTGATACCAGTGAAAATGTAGTCTCGACAAACTGTCACGGACACAAAATACAGACTTGAAATCTAACAAGAAGTTCAAGAAGAAGTGGAAAAACTAGATTAAACAGATGAGTACAAGAACAACACCAGAAAGGTGAGCTAGAACTCCAAGAGATGTGTTGTCGAGACTGAAGAACCCTTCAGCCTCGACTCCTATATATACTACTGAATAGGAAGCTTCTCGAGCTACTTCCGCTAACTAGGACGCTTCTCCAACAACTTCTACTAATTAGGAAACTTCTCGAGCAACTTCCTAGAATCTATCAAAATATTCTAGAACCTTCTAAGAATATTCTAGAACCTTCTAAGAGAATCTTTAGGGAATATTCTAAGAATCTTCTAGAACCTTCTAAAGGAATCTTTAGAGAATCTTTAGAGAATATTCTAGAAGAATATTCGAAGAATCTTCCAATGTATGTCCATGACAGAAGGATGTGAAATATTTTGTTGTATCTTGTAACATTTGTTCAAGATCCAAAAACCCTCGACATCGACCTTATAGACTTCTACAGCCATTGCCTATTCCTCGCCAACCATGGTCTTCGGTTTCCATGGACTTTATTACGGATCTACCACCATCAAATTCATTTGATAGTATTTTTGTTGTCATAGACTAGCTTACAAAGATGGCACATTTTGTCCCTTGCAAGAAGACATCGTCAAGCGAAGACACAGCAAGACTCTTTCTTGATAATGTGTATTGATATCATAGTCTACCAGATGATATTGTATCGGATCGAGGAACCCAGTTTGTGTCAAAGTTTTGGAAATCTCTTTTTGAAATATTGAAGGTGGATATCAAGCTTTCTTCGACATTTCATCCTCAAACGGACGGCCAAACAGAACGGGTGAATCAAGTTTTAGAGCAATATTTACGTTGCACCATCAACTATCAACAAGATGATTGGGTCGCATATCTACCGCTAGCCGAGTTCGCATATAACAACACCCTTCATGCGTCAACTCAACAAACGCCATTCTTTTCCAATTATGGATACCATCCGAAGCTTGACTTATGGAATTCGTCAACGATTAACAATCCGGCAGCTGAAGGATTGATGAAGGAGCTTTTGCAGCTTCAAACTACATTGAAGCTTCAATTGCAAACTGCCCAAGAATCTTACAAGGCGTCCGCGGACAAATTTCGGAATCAGGCACCTAAATTCACGATTGGAGACAAAGTTTGGCTGCTTCGACAAAATATTAAGACCAAGCGGCCATGTGACAAATTGGACTATCGGAGATTGGGACCATTTGTTATCCAGAAGCAGATCAATCCTGTAGCGTATCGTCTGGAGTTACCAGCTACTATGAAGGTACATCCTGTCTTTCATGTTTCTTTGTTGGAGCCTTATCGAGAATCGTCTTTTCCTGGAAGAGTACAATGTCCACCACTTAGCATAGAAATAGAGAACCACGAAGAATACGAGGTGGAAAAGGTCCTGGATTCACGGCAAAGACGGGGTAAATTAGAATACTTTGTGCATTGGAGCGGTTACGATATTAATGAACGAACATGGGAGCCGGCCAAAAATCTCGCGAATGCGCCGCAAAAGGTACAGGAGTTTCATCGACGATATCCTGAGAAACCCAAGCCGGTTCGACGATAGCTTCTTACTGAAGCTTGTTCATCCAGAAAATAGAAAAGAGGAGAGAGCACCACCAAAATCCATAATTGATGTAGTCATTCTCTCCAAGATAGCGTAGAACTTTGTTAGTAGCCCAAGTTTGTTCTTATTGTTTTAGCCTTTGAATATGGATAGCCAAGATACTACACTTGTCATGTCATCTCAAGCAACTAGCTCACGAAGACGACCGCGAGATGAAGAACCGCTTGCACCATGACGACGTCGAAGGATTCCGAGCAACAGATCGCTGGTGATTGTATTTGAGGTCGAGCCTGCCTACAATGGTCAGCTAGAAGGAGTGTTTGCAGGGCAATTTCACAATGAAGACACGGAGGTTCATGCTTGGTCCGAAGTTGAAGACGTGGGCTACTACCGTTGGCTTCAAGGACCATTGAATCACTTGCTTCGTGAACAACAATTGGAGTTCATAGCAGAGGTTATGCGACAGATCTTCATTTACTTGCGTTGGTATTGACTGACGATAACATTGCTTCTCAGAGACCTCGAAGCTAAAGGAGGAGGTGATGTTAGAGACATAGTCCTTAGACCTTTCTAGAGACAAGTTTCTAGAACCTTCTAGAAAGAAGTCTCTAGAAACTTCCAAAAGATTCCTTCAATATTCTTTTAGAATATTCTTTAAAGATTCTCTAAAGATTCCCTTAGAAGGCTCTAGAAGATTTTTAGAATATTCTAGTAGATTCTAGGAAGTTACTTGAGAAGCTTCCTAGCTCTTGGGTAGTTGCTCGAGAAGCTTCATAGTTCTTGGGAAGCTTCTTGATGCGCTTCCTTAGAACCATAGGCCAGTAGTATATATAGGAGTCGAGGCTGAAGAGTTCTTCAGTCTCGACAACACATCTCTTGAAGCTCTAGCTCAATTCTCTTGGCGTTGCTCTTGTACTCATCTGATAATCTAGTTCTTGTCATTTCTTCTTGAACTTCTTGTTTAGATTTCTTGTTTGTATTTTTGGTCCGTGACAAGAAGTTATAATTGCAATTATCATTACTATTTTTTATTTTTTACATAAATAATTTTATTAAAACAATTATAACATGGTATTTATCATATAAAAATATATTGAAGTATAATTAATAATAGATAATATTGATAAGAAGTAATTTTTATTTTTTTAATTATTAATTGGCTCCTATATTAAAGAAAAAGTAGATAATCGATAGATAATGAAATATATAATAATCATAATAGAAATTTAAATAGTATAGATTACAATAAAATTTAGTATAATAATATATTTTAAACTTTTATATAATTAATCATATAACTTCTTTAAATTCTCCAAAATACATAATTTTTTTAATTGTCTATATTTTAGACGTGTAGGATTTTTGATTTGTTACAAAAAAAATAATAACATTATGAATCAATTATTGTGACATAAGTTGATTTGAGTTTTATTTTAGTTGTCTTTTTTATGTTCAATACTTTGAATAGATAAAATCTTGTGTTTTTTATGTTTTAAAAAAAATTATATATAACTACACACATATGCATATATGTATATATATATTGACCTAAGTTTTTACTAAATCAACCCACCCATTCATTTATCTACAATTAGATTGTCAATCAATGAAAACCAACCACATTCATTATAATTACCATATTCTTCATTAAGATAGGTCGATTTTAGTAAAAGCTTGGTCTATTTAATATTCTATTATACATATATATATATATATATATATATATTCATGATTATAAAAAAATGTTCTAAAAATGAGTGAAAAGTTAGAAAGAAAGAATTGAAAAAATAGCTATGGTATGAAAAATGCTTTGCAAGTAATGGCTCAATATCACTTGATTTAAATAGTGGCATCAATATCACTTGAAGCTATATCACATGAATGGAATGTAGTAGGATACCTACTACTTGGTAGAGACTTGGTGGAGCATCATCTACATGATCGGCATGACTCTCGTTAGCATGAAGAAGAACAACCATATTATTTTATGCAAGGAAGGAAGGCAAAGTCCACTTCAAGTCCAAGTTTCTCTTCTCATCATCAGCACCTCCACTTCCAGGCTTCGAACCGCGTGGACAATGTCGGCCATGTCTCAACGGCATCACGCGTTGCAAAGCGTCGGTGGAAGAGGAAGAACAAGACGAAGGACGACGATGACGACGAAGAGGAGGAGGAGGAGTAGAAGGGGCAAGTGGGTCAATCGAGAAGGAGATCCAGATGCCGTGGATCGGAATTAGTCGCAACCATGAAAGGCAGACCGACGACAAGGAGGTGGAGGACGCAGAGGAGGAGGAGAAGAAAGGGTTAGAGCATGGCAACAAGGGCATAAATTTTCCCCAGGAAGGAGGTTGCAGGTGGTGAGAAAGAGCTATACCGTAATTATGAAGTTGTCGTCCGGAATGGGTGGATGGGTCAAGCAGTCTGTGTGCTTTTCATTGTTTTTCATTTTTTTTTTTTTTTTTTCTTTCTGCCTGCTGATCGGGTGTCGATCAAGGAGTCCACGTGGTGAAGCGTTTTATCGCTCAGACTCGACGTCTGGCGTCATTCGCAATTAGGATCCAAGCCGCCCTCATCAGCAAGTGGGGATAGTGGGCCACTGCGCCCGCAAGTTCGACTACTCATTCTCGCGCGATGCCCTCTCATGGTGTCGTGTTTCCGACGCTTCGTTTCTTCTTCCGAACAGTGTAATTTCCGTATTCCGCTAATATGACTTTCCCAGATGCTTAAGAGGCGTTGTTTTTTTTTATCTCCTTCCTTCCTGGCAACTGACAGAATTGAAGCAAGGGATCAGAGTTTTTTTCAGCAACAGTTTACCAATATCCTACCGGTTGCATCAAGCAACCAGTTGGCTGCAGCACTTCCTTCGGCTTGTGACTCTGCTTTCACCAGTATTAGAAGATTGCCTGGAATTCTGCCTGGTTGTTAGCCGGAGCTTCAAATGATAATCAGTGATTTGTGCTGGTTCTCTCTGTTCCTTGACTAAGACCAAATTTTCGCTGCGTATCAGGGGCAGCTATATAAGCTGTCTGAGTTTGAAGGATTCATCATGGGGGCGTGCATCGCGCATTTATTTTGCTGGATCTGAAATGTCAAGGACAGGTCCTACGGCGTGTGCTTTCCTGTGCGGACACATGGGAGGACTTTCTCCTCTGTGCTCGATGACATATGTTTACGCTTGTGCACTCATGTATGCAACTTGTATGGACAGAGTGACTAGTCTAGTGTTCACGAGTGCCAATTTTTGGATGCCTTCTATTGCTGTGCTGGTCTGTGAGGCGGCGTAACTCCTTGTTTTGCAACAGTTGACAGTGCACAAAGTATATGTGTGGCTGGTGACGTGCGACGCATTGGGTAAGATCTATGTCTCTTCAGTGCGCGGGGAAGTTTGTCCGCCGACGGCATTCAGATTGCTAAACTAGACTCGTCAGTATGTCCATTACAGTTGCATACTTGTGTGGATAGCGTTCAGTTCAGCACCCAGGAGCTACCATGAAAGTTGCTTTGAAGTTGGAAGGTTGTTGTGAGAAAACGGAAACGAACAACGCTGGTGTTTAAATGTAAGTGTCACAGGATTGTTTGACGCCTGTCTGAGCTGTCGAGCAGCGAACCACCCTACCAGCTAAGGGTACTTCTGCGACAATTAGACAATGTATGTCGAATGGCCCTGCACTAGCTTACCGCACTATAATGTTGCTGAATAATAGGCTACGTATAGTTTTCATGTGATTTTCGGGATGTCCTCTGCAAGCAAGATGCAGGTTTGAGTGAGTCACTTTGGTTGTCACCTACACAGTTTAACGTAGAACAAATGCAAGTGAAATGTTGGCACCTGTGGCAGCTCATCCATCAACTTTCGAGAAGTTCATTCACGCGAGATGTGCAGCGATGGACACCAGGACCTATGTCATTCTGTGAGCCTGTTAGTAGCATGTCAGACTTAAGTTTGTCTTGAAGAAAACAACTGGTCGTGGAAACTTTGGTTGACTATCGTCTTCTGTGTATGTGAGCGACAGAATTTTTTTCAGAAAAACTGGTCACGCGACCTCATCAATCACTAAAGGGATGACCTCCCATGAGTGATGTATCCTGCGAGGGCGGCCGCACCAGATACATTCAGCACACAGTGCTAACACAAGCTGAACATTTTGAGTGGCGAGGATGTGACAACTGATTGGTGATACCTCTGCAGAATCGACTCCTACATATTTTATGTAATTTTTAAGATATCTTGTATAGAATAACAGCATATCTCTACTTACGAGCTGTAGGTTGAACGAGATACTTGAGTATGATTATAGAGGCCAATCTGGTTCTTTTGTAGGATACTCATGGCTCAACGTTGTCTCCTGTGTCCCTCTCAGATGCCTCTTATTCATCATAATTTAATCCACTGTGGATGCTTTATTTCATCTGTGAAGTGTTTGCAAGAAACTGCTGTCGAAAGTTATGTCCGGATGGTTCGTGGAAACGATTGTGAAAGTGGTTGGAGGACATCGCAATCGCTAGAAAATGTAAATTCATGTCAAGAACACGAATGAGGAAACTTTTAGTGGCCTTCTGCTATCTCCCTGTCAGTAATGTCATCGGGTTCAATTGTCTGTGAGGGAGAACAAGGTTGATGCACAATGGTAGTTCTGGTGATGAATTGAGAAAGCATCCAAACTTAAAACATTTTTTCACTGTTGAGAATCAAGGATTCTTCGTAATTGATTCAATTTTTCTCCATGATGTATTTAAAACACTATCTTTGTTGATTCTTATCAAATAATCTGCAGGGTTATCAGGCTTGAATGATCTCAGGATCTTGACGTATAAGTTACGATTGACGCAGTCATGCACTCCTCCTGTTTCCTTCTGATTGTACGGAACCATGACTTATCCAGTTCTAGCAATCTGTTTCTGGATCATGCCTAGTGACTCGTTGCTGGCCCCCTCGAGAAAATAAGTTCCATCATTAAACTCAAAACCTTGAAGTAACCTGACGGTCATTATTAAGTATGTGGTGCAATGTACTACTTATTCGAGAGTGTGTAGACTGTTAGCTCCTATTGGTCTAATAAACATTATTATACATACTAAAATGAGTATCTTCAGCCACAAGAACTTCGTCCTTTGGAGCAGAAATAAGGTTGCTGGCCTCAGAAGGTTGATCATCAGGCTGAGAAGTCGTAGAGAATGGGACTGAGCCTAGCTCCATACTAAGTACAAGTGAACCCCTATGCTGCTTTCCCACCATACCTGCCGCTGTCTGAGTAAATCAGTCTCTTTAGCACACATGATGAAATCATGTAGCACCTCATGCAGTAAAAGGAGATTAGAAAACGTTAAGGCGTGTTTCCAAGTTCTATCAGCTTTACTAGTCAAATCGTTCAATATATTCTCTGGTTCATCGCCTCCTGACGTCCTTGCAAACACTGCAATTGCAGCTCCACCAATTCACGGGCCTCGTACAGATAGTGCAGCTATTCGCCATGAGGACACGTGAGATCACCAGAAGTCAGACTGCTGAGAAAACTCAAAAGAGCTTCTTTCCTTGCACTGCACGTTTAGGTATCAATCACACAGGCTCTCATCATCGCTAACGTCTGCTGTTCAACTCTCACCAAATAAACCACTGTCGTCTTTTAGTTTGGTGATGCGCTTGAAGACGACGGCATGATGATATGGGCCAATCTCAGATCGATCGCAAGCGACTCCGTCGCGCGTACATTGAAGATCAGCCATGCCACAGTCGCAGTGCACAATGGAGGTCTGCTCATGCTCATCCAGTGCCTTTTTCTGTGCTGATGCCTCAGCTAAGGCTCGTCCAAAACTAACCAACACCATGTGAGCTTGTTTCTGAACTTTGCTGACTTGTTCATGATTAGAAACTTTTCAAGAAGGCAAAGATAGTATCCAAAGAGGAGAAATGAGTGTTAAAATTTGAGGTTTGCCAAGTACAGTATTTAACATGGTTTCTGTTGTCAAAAATTTGTTTGATGTTTTGTCATATGATGACATTGAACAATGCCTCCAAATGACTATTGAATAGGGTTCAAACATGGCACTTTTGCAAAACCAAATAACTCAGATTTAGTACTTGATATCTCTAGGATCACTTGAAATATCAAATCCAAAATATTACTCTTCAAACATAATTATCATCTTCAAGTTTATGAAGTGTCATATAGTCAAATAGTGAGAGAAGAGAGTTGAGGCAAGTGACACAATTTTTGATATTTTACTTGCCCTTCTTTTGATATTTCTAATTCAAAATCACCCACCTTGCAAGGTAGGTGATTTTGTAAAGTATCAAGTGATATTTTGAAATATCACAAGATATTTTAAGATCTCATCATGGATAAAATATCACCTAAAAAGGCCATATTTAAACCCCCTAATGTAGGCAATTGGTGGTTTGATACTTCATATTAAAAATAATATTTACTATGAGTTAATTGTTTTGCTTGTGTAAGTTTTATTGTTATAATCCAACAAGTATATTATATAAATGTAATTATAAATGCTGATCAAATTTTGTAATTTAATTTTTTAATTTTTATTTTAGAAGGCACTATGCTCTTGCAATATAAACTTATATACTAGCTAACCAAAATCCATCAGATCACAACTACAAATGAATAAAACAATAGAAGCAATGTTTACAAGGTGATTTAAATTTCTTACAATTTATGTTCTTTGCTTTAGGTGAATATGAGTTTGCAGATTTATTGATATTTTTATTCATTTATTTGTAATTAAAAACATAGATTTTACAAAAATAGAGCTGAAAGAAGTGAATTGCATGTTTGTAATGGTCTTAAATAAGTAGTTATAGCCAATTATTTTGTAACATTACAAAGTTTTAATTATTTAATTTTATGTAATTTTTAAAATTATAATTTATTCAAAATAAATCTTTAATAATAATTTTGAAGATTATAAATTGTAGATTTTTTAAGAATGATATGTATATGAAATAGAATATTTTACTATGGTTTATTAATTTGATAAGAAATATATCCAATTAAAACTTCAATATTGTTACTTCATTGTCCATGCATGGAAATTAAGATAGATAAGGAGGAATAAATAAGCATTTTGAAGATGGCTTAGTATTAGATAGATAAATTTTGGATTACTTTCAATATATTATTTTTCATTTAATCTTTTCAATCCAATATTTTAGAGCAATTTCAAAGGCTAAAAATAGCTCAATAATGTGGTTTAATATCCATAATAGAATTTAAATCTTATGATATATTATTATATTTTTTTGGTATTTTTTTCATCTTTATGAGGATACCTTCTTCAATATATATTCTTAAGTATTTTTCTTCATCATTCTTCTATCTACTTGGTTCATTAATCATTTATTTGTTTTAATATTGTTACTTTTTTTTTATAATGTCTAAGATAAATGTAGATATTATAAATATAATATGTGTAATATGAAAAAAAAAAATTATAATAATATATCTTTGAGATAATATTTAAAAAATAATAATAATAATTTATTTATTAGAGCTGCAAAATTAAATTTAAATAAAAAAACGCATTTTATAACTAAAATTTGACAATACTTTGAACAACATATTATACATAAAGAAATTTGGAATAATTTTTATTTTTATAAACTAGTCTTTTATCATTCTATAAAAATTTAAAATAAATATTATATCTATTAAATCATTTTTTTTTACATATTGATAAAAAGATGGTTTATAAATTTAAAAAAGTTTTGGAATAAAATACACATCTAATGTATAAGATAAAATACTTTAAATAAAAACTTTTAAAGCAATAGTGGCTGCTAATGTAATAGCTTAGAATAATATTTAATAAAAATGCATATGTATACAATTGTATAATAGTCGAGTATTCATTTTAGCTATTTCTTTTGTATGCTATCTATTTTACATATTTCTATGACTCTCTTTGTTTGTATACAAAATAAATATAATTTTTTGAAACTTTTAAACATCTTCTCAATTTTAAATTTAGTTTTTTCTTTTCTTTTTTTTAAAAAGAATTTTTATATTTTTTTATAAAATTATTATTTTTTGATATATTATTTATTTTATATAAAAATATTATTTTAAAAATAATATAATTCTACTAGCCATGTGGTTTAATACTAAGGCTAGAGCCAATGCCCACATCTCAAAATCTAATACTACCTCAAAAGGTGATCAAGCTTGTCAAAGATGATGCTCTTCAAGAATGTTAAGAATTGATAAAAGGCATATAAGATTTGAAGGTGGAAATGACTAAGTTGAAGAAATCTCGAATAACAAGCTCATTAAAGTCATTTGAAGGCTCAAAGGAATTTGAAGAGAGATGTATGTAGTGTGATAATTCAAACCACAAGCATGGTGAGTGTGATAATTACAAGGCTACAATCAAAGATGATATTGTATATTTCAAAGAAAATAGGATAAGACTCATGGAATTGGATGAATCTTTGAGGATTAATTTTAAAAAAGGTGGCATGAAAAAATTGGTCAAGGAATAAATAAAAAAAAAGTAATGTTATATAAGGAAAAGAAAGTGAATCTTACTATATTACATTTGAACATAAGTAATTAATGTTAATTCTTTACTAATTGTAGAAGCAATGATTAAGAAATTTGAAATTATTACAACAATAACTAGATAGAATAATCTACTTGATGCTATTAGGATTAAAGCATTTTTATGTAGAAATAAATATCATGATGATTTGTATGATGCTATGGTTGAAGTAAAAAGAGGTCGAGCTATTTATGAGAAGAATATTGTTGAGCTTGAAAATAAGAAGAGGTCTTCAAAGATCAAAGAAGTTTCTAAGGAGCAAAAATCAGAGAAGATGCCTTCTTCTACTCATTTTAGTGATGCATCATTATCAAAAGAGTGGCCAGAGAAGAACAAAGAGAAGGAAAAAGATGACACAAGAAAAATAAACTAAAAATAATAATTCTACTTATAAACTTCAATTTGATATTGAAATATCTATAAATTTGAAAAGTATTTTAAAAGAAAGGATCTTGGATGCCAAAATTGAATTCACTCTAAAAGGTGCTCTTTGTATAGTGAAGAAGGATTTTTATGAGTTGATCATTAATGTGTTAAAGAGAAAGAGAAAAATGACAACTGAAGCTACTATGATAGAGGCATTGAATACAATGATAACTATAGATAAGAGAGAAGAGATATATTAGGTATTTGCATAATTTACAATTCTACAAATTAGAAGTAAGGCAGATATAAGGGATGAAGCTTCATTTAAACATATTGAGGCTATAGAAGAGCATCAAATAGAATGTATATCTATAGAATTTATGGAGATAAAGAAGAATGCACAACAAGCATGTATAAATATTTGTTCTAAATGTGATAATAATAGAATAGAAATTAATAGCTATTCAGCTCTTTATTAGACTAGAGCTACTA